AGGCTGGTGTGCTTCTTCCATGTGGGCTTTGTTGCTTCTGAGCAAGATGGCTGCTTGTTTACCTTCAAGCCTTTAAGACCCCAGGTGCTTTACTTTTGACAGCCGGGCACCATCAGCTTTCTTCACCACATTTGCTTATTCACCCAGTTTGTCTTTAGCGGTTGTGTCGGGAAGGTGAGCATCATAGAATGGATGGCAGTGAGTTTTATGATCCACTTTAAAGAATAACTTACTGGAACTTTTTTTGAAAGACCTCTAGGACATGACAAGAAAAGATCAAGTCATATTTGCTTAATATCAACATCCCTCTTGTCATGATAGCTTTCAACTACGTCTAAACTATTCTGATCTTTTCTATTTGATTTTAAAAAGTATTTAAACCCCTGTTTCTATGTCTACCTTCTTCCTTTTATTATCTGTGTTTATTTCATTCACTTGCTTTCCAAACACATTTCTGTTGAGAGGAGGACTGCATAGAGATTGAGAGTGTAAACAAGCATGCATATGCAAACCACACTTAATACTTGGGCTTTTATTTTTGTAGCATGCTTGGAAATTGTCAGGTACAATGTCAAAATCTAGGTTTGAATTCTTGTGGTCACTGGATGAAGAGCCCCCGCCCCCTTTTGGTGCCTGCTATGAAAGTGTTTATCTTTAACCTATCACTGTTATGGGAACACATTAGAAATTTAGATACGTTGAAATCATATTGCTCTGTTATAGATGGAACGCGAATATAGTAGAGAAAGGATAACAGGGAAATAAAATGACATTCCTTGTTACATGGAATCATTGCCTTTTGTGCTAATTAGTCTTGAAAAATGTGGAGCTATTTGGCAGACCAGATGTTTCAGCGTGCAGCCATGTGTCTCATCAGTGAACGTGCCTCGTGTCCGCAGGCAACATTGTTGAATTTTTCTCATTCTGTAAACACTGTTCCAAAATATAACTAAACCCCAAAAGTATGTTTATCTTTTTGGCTTTATTTCTGGCTTTCTATCCAATCTAAAATTTCTCTCTAGAGGAATGGCATTTTATTGCACATAGCTCTTCATACCCAATTGTAGTATAAACACCATTTCTGTTTACACTAAACCATGTGAATTGTACTGTTTTTGAGACTGTAAAATTTGTGCAAAATCAGCCATTTCTGACTTTACTATATGTGCACACTTATTTTATGAATGTAGGGGAAGTAAATCTTTATTTCCTCAATTTATTTAGAGTAAGATTTTGATTTTTGGAATATGTGAGGAAAATGTAAAACAAGTAAAACCAGTTCCTGCTTTGACTTTTTGTGGTATTCAGTACATGGGAGCAAGAAGAGCTCCAAGTGCCTGTTCTGAAATTCATTAAAAAAAAATTCACAATAGAGTTGTTTCCTTTTCTTTTCTTTTGTCTTTTTTTAATTTAAAAGATGGAACTGATTGTTTTGCTAATATACAATGGGAAAAGATGGACATTGAGAAATTAAAAGCACAAAGGAAGAATTATCACCCATAATTTTGTTATATAATAAACCAAACTCCATTGCACACATTTTTGTATACATTTTTCTAGTCCATAGGTTTAGACAGAATCTGTAGTGGTGGGTTAAGCACTAGGTTGCAAACAGGTCAGTGGTTGAAATCCATCAGCTGCTTCCTGGGAGAAAGTTGGGGCTGTCTGTTCCTATAAAGATTTATGATCTTGGAGACCCAGGGGCCAGTTCTTCTTTGTTCTGTAGGGTTTCTATGAGTCAGAATGGACTCAACAGCAGTGGGTTACATGTGTATGTGTGTTTGGGTACTTGGGTAAACATGTTTATATATAATTTCTACATGCATCTTTATAAATTTGAAAATTCTTAGGATTATACTTTTAAATTCTATTTAGTTCTTTACATAGTATATATATGTGTGTGTATCTGTATGTATATACACACACGTGTGTGTATATATGTGTGTGTGTGTACTTAACCAGTTTCTTTTTATTACATATTTAGGTTAGTTTGTTAAAAATATTGGTGTAAAATCAAAACAAATAAACAACACTATAATTCAATACCTTGGGTGGTACAATTAGTTAACACCCTAGGGTGCTAACTAGAAGGTAGAAAAAACAAGAGTATTGTGATAGGAAAGCTTGGTGATCTACTTTGTAAAACTCATCCATTGAAAACATGATGGAGTATAGTTTATACTCTATCACGTGGGGGTTGCAGTGGATTCAAATCGACTTGCTGGCCACTGGTCGGATTTACACATTTTTTTGTACCTCTAATATTATTTTGAATTGGAATGTTTCGAATACCTGTTTTGCTAAAACTATTCATTGAACCCTTATATCAAGTAAAAAACCTGCTTGGCCAGTAGATCATGGTTACCCATTTATTGAAACCTTTGATTATAATATGTGTTATCTTTTAAGAACTCCTTTAGTTTTAATGACAAAATTATATTTTGAGTTACCTTTCTCACATTAATTTCATCTTAAAATATATATATTGTCCATGTTTTGGAGAATTTCCTTTTTTTATAACTAGTTTTTAATTCAAATGTATTATTAATCCTTTGAATTTTGCTGTAAATCTTATCAGTTTGTTGTTTTTTCTATGTTCTTAATATGTTCTTTCAATACATAACTTAAATTTTTCTTATTAATTTTATTGGGAGGTCTTACAGTTCTTATAACAATTCATAAATCAGTTGTATCAAGCACACTTGTACATATGTTGCCATCATTATTTTCAAAATATTTTCTATCTACTTGAGCGAGCCCTTGGTATCAGCTCCTCTTTTTCCCCCTCCCTACCTCCCCCTCCCACCTTCGTGAATCCTTGATAATTTATAAATTATTTTTATTTTCATATTTTATATCATCTGCTGTTTCTGTTGTTCGTCTCTCTTGGGGGTGGGGTGGGGATTAAATATCTATCACTGTGATTGCTTCCCCCTTTCTCCCCCTTTCCCTCCTCTCTCCCCTCATGGTATTGGTACTCTCATTACTCTTCCTGAGGGCTTTATCTGTCCTGGATTCTGTGTGTCCAGAGCGCTTATCTGTACCAATGTACATGCTCAGGTCTAGCTGGATTTGTAAGGTAGAACTGGGATTGTGCTAGAGGGAGGAGGAAGCATTAAAGAACTAGAGGAATGTTGTGTGTTTTGTTGGTGCTATATTGCACCCTGGCTGAATCGTCCCTTCTGTGTGATTCTATATCCTAAGTTTTTATGTACTTAACTTTATTAGTCTTCAAGTTGCATTCTTCCTCTTATGCCAGGGAAGCTTTTAGACTTATCAATCAAAAAATATTGCTTTTATTATTATTATTGATATATCCCTCTTTATTTAGCGATATTTCTTGTCTGGAAGTCTGTTATTTCGGTTGATTTCCTGAGCCGTGTTATAGTTCTTTTTGATATTTTGCCTAGTGTACAGTTTCTCTTTTGGGGGATGGGTGGGAATAATAACCAAGCCCCCTCTGCCATAGCTGGAACTTTAGCCTTGGTTCATTTTATAGGATGATTTCTTGGTATTGAGATGCTAATTTTTAAACTTTCCTTTTATGTCTTTATACAAGAAATATCATTGGTAAATTTGGGGCATTCTTGGGAAAAATTAATTTTTGGTCATAATTTAAGACTTTTAATTTATGTATTAATATTAAATAATTGGAGATATCCCATTGGTGTTGTTCTTAAACTAAGTATTAGATTTTCTTTAATGGATATAGGAAACTTATTCAGACTAGAACTTTTGCCTGTGGTATATATATCTCTGACCCTAAAGAAGACTGAGTTGAGTTAAAGGTGATCTATTTCTTTGATAGGCACTACCCTGCACTTAAAACTCTGGAACATTTAGAGCATACCTATCTGCCTCAAGTAAGCCATTATCGATTCTGCAAGGTGATGGTGGACAACATCCCCAAGCTTCGAGAGGAAATCAAGGATGTTTCTATGTCTGACCTCAAAGACTTTCTGGAGAGCATCCGTAAACACTCGGACAGAATTGGAGAGACTGCAATGAAGCAAGTAGGTCTTGGATTTACGATTGGGGCAGCCCACTGGTGTTGCAGATGTTTCAGTTAAACATAGGTTTTCCTTTACCAAGTATTTTAGTTATTGCTTATCATTTCAGGGAAGTCCTTCATCTCTATGGGAACTAGTTAAAAACATTGACTAGTAGTATTTTGCTGTGTGAGTTTCTACTAAATACTGTTCAATTGTAATGGTTTAAATTAGAATTCAAAGAGGTTTTCCAGTTTTCAAAAATATGTTCCTTAATTTTGCATGTGATTTAAAGTCCAAGGGGTTTTAAAGTTCTCATTCGACGTAATGATTAAAGCAACAGGTGTCAGTGAAAAAGGAAATGCAGAGAGCTATGCTTTTACAAGGAGATTTATTTAAATCTGTAGGTTAAATGCATTACAAATTGTTCAACTAGAAAAACACTTTATGGTAAATTAGGTGAAAGTTTACAGAACACCATAATTGAATTTTAAGTGAAGCATTCATGTTTTGATTTTTTAAGACAATCTAACTCGAGTATGAGAGGGCTTTAAAAAGTTTGTGGAGAAATAGAATGGAAGGGTAATAGAATTTTTCCATGAACTTTTTAAAAATTTTTAAAATCTTATCGGATTTTTTCCATAAACATTTTAAAAATCATTTTATTGGGGGCTCGTACAATTCTTACCACAATCTATATACATCTATCCATTGTGTTAAGCACATTTGGACATTTGTTACCATCATCATTCTCAAAACATTTGCTTTTTACTTGAGCCCTTAATAGCAGCTCATTTCCCCCTTCCCCCCTCTCATGAACCCTTCATAATTCATTATTATTTTGTCATATCTTACACTGTCCGATGTCTCCCTTCACCCACTTTTCTGTTGTCCATCCCCCAGGGAGGAGGTTATATGTAGATCCTTGTAATCAGTTTCCATGAACATTTTGAAGCCCCCTCATACTGCTTTTTTTGCCTACCTTCTGCTATGGGAAATGTGCCATGTGTAAAACAGGCACAAACCCTTCCTATTTTTCCTGCCTCACTTTCTGCCTTGATCTTCTTGCATGCTTCCAAAATACTATGCACTTCTCTCTTTTGAGATGATCATGTTAGCATGCAGTGATTTTATTAAAAAGAAGTCAAAAGAAATTCATTGTTAATTGTCCACTATTTTCTATCAAAACTGAGGTTTTGTAATTCACTTGTTATGGAATTGATTTGTGCAGGAGGGAATTCTGTATTTTTTATTTTGATTAATTTGCCTTAGGCTTTATGGGGCTAAATAACATTTGTAATATAAACATTCTTGACTAGGTTGATTTCTGTGTGAGGCCGTTAAACAAAGGGAAGGATTTATTTACTTTTAAAATTCTAACTTGCCTTTGCCAAATTATATGGGTTATGTAACCAATGCTTAGGAAAAGAGCTCCTTGCCTATAAAAGAGATTGAAGGCTCTCAGGTATTTTTCCATTAGTAACTGGTTTTAAAGAAATTGTGTCAGGTAAAATTCATTGTTTCTATGATACTTTAAACCCTTGGCTCTCTTGGGTTAAACCTGGACCAGAGCAAAATGTGTTCTTTTTATTTAATTTGTAGAACATCTTTTGACTTAAATTTAACATGGTACTACCAATTGAGTTCGCAAAAGCCATATTGTGCCTGCCAGTAACAGTGTTGCTGTTGAGATCTCTATGTGCTGAATACCATGCACAATGTCACAAAATGTTGCCTTAAGAGCCATGGAAGTTAGTTCCCAGTTAGTCTGATATTCCTGGATTATTTCATGTACTTTTTCTTCTTGATTTTGGCATTTTATAGTCATACTGGGTTTTTTGTTTCTTGCTTTTTTTTTTCTTTCTTCTTTCTTCTGCCTGTGTATGATCTGAGGATAGGGTATGGCTGTATGAGAATTCTTTTATAGAGGTTTTTCAAGTCAGCAGGACTCAGTAATATATAGTGTATATATTTAGGAAACTCTCAAGAAGCTAGTATGGTATTAGTATTCATTTATCATTAAGTAATATGGCAGTAAACAGAATGGACTTCAGATAGGGACTCTTAGTCTTGCTATTTCCTAGCTGTGATGAGAAATCATTTTAATTCTCCTGAAATCTAGATTTCTGGATCTAGAGAATTGGGGTGACCTACTCAGGCTGTTTGCCCTTATATGTCCTTTTGAGTGTTGGGTCTCTAAGGGACTGGCTTTCTTAAAATCCCCTTCTGGGCCAAACAATAGCCTAGTAAGCAATTTCGCAGAGACCATTTAGCCGTAGGCACTGAGGTTTGCTGGGGAATTATCTCTGTGAAGCCAGTTTCCAGAAGCAGGAATTCCAGTGCCTGACTGGAAGCTGTGTTTTAGGATAAATGGCATGTCCTTAATGACTCTGTTTTTACTGACCCTGAAGTTCCTTCTTGCACAGGTTTTGGGAAACCAGCATTGAAGGAGTTTATAATGGGCTTCAGGAGACTGGCCTGCCCCATCTGTATAATTTGCCACTTTAGAACATCTTCCCATTACTGTTGGTTCCCTATTGGAATTGCTATCCACTCACAAGAAATAATTCCTGTTCCACTCAGTTTTAAACAGATAATGAACATGTTACAGTTTAGTCTTCACAACAACTCTAAAAAGTTGGGGTTTTAAACCCTCTTTTTGATAGATGAGGAAACAGATTGAGTGGATTTATTTCAGTCTAGTTGCAAGCTTATAATAAATGTTCAGCTAAAAAACAACTGTACTATCCTAGGTAAGTTGTGAATGTGAGTAGACTCTAAAGCAGGGGTCCTCAAACTTTTTAAA